TTCGAATCTTAACATTAAATCCATAGACGTTGTTATTAAAAAACTTAGTCAAAATTTACTCCTCAAAATTAAACAGACTGATAACCGTGCACTTCAACAGTTACCGGCCTATGATCCTGCAATTTACAGCTCACAGAAAAGACCTCGCTCCATCGTGGGACGCGAATACAGCATCTATCCTCCAGCTAAAAGGCGTAGACACGCCCCTCTGTTCTCAGTTCCAGCGCCTGGCCCATGAAGGACATTCTACCATGAAATTGCTCTGCCATTCTCCTACTCCAGTATTACTGAAAAGTGACCACCTCTGCATTCTTATCAATCTGTTCACTATTTAATCACATCATGGCCGCTGTCCTGGATATTTCGTCGCGAAAATTTAATCTTTGCTTCGCTATGATTAGTGCCATAGCCAATGAGCCTATTAATCTGTAAAATCTTTCCTTTCTGCTTTAGTGTAATATTTGTGTGTTATAAATAATAATAATAATAATAATAAATAATAAAATTAAAGAATACAAAAAAGTTTAAAATCATAAAACTTCCAAAAAATTAAAAACTAGATTTTTACTATCCTTTAACTTTCTTGAGTTAATGTAGCTCCCTCTAGTGTGCATCATGATAATCAATTATGCAATTTTCCTATTTCTGCTTACTACTTAGATATTTTTCTGATGTGGAGGTACAAGGTTTTGAACCATAGGCACTCCATAACTTATAATCATTGGTATTACCATAAATAACTTGTCCAGTAGTGGGTTTACCATAAGTCGTATCGCTTGCCAAAATCCGTGCAACTGTCTACCAAAGTAGCACCCTGACAGACTTAATTCGCTATTCTGCCAAGTTTCAAATGTAAAAAAATATAGCTATTATGATTTTAAAAAAATTAGGTTTAGCCACACTAAAACAACTATAAAATTGTATGATAATTCTACAACTATGGCATGCAGATTAACTAAAGGCATAAACAGCTTAACCGGAAGATAAGAATAACATAATTCGGTACTACTCGGTTTCGAGGGCTGTAAAAAATCGCCAAACTACTGTTGATGCCAATGATTGCAAAAATAATTGCGGCAGGAAAGGAAGTATAATACTAAATAACTATCTAAGATTCATGTTTTAATTTAGATGAAAGGTTAATTTCATACAATACTTTTTTATTATTATAATTTATATGAAAAAGGCTAAACATGACTGAATGGAAGCATAAGGGTAAATAACTATTTCGAACCATTATTATAATTTATATAAAAATTGCTAAACATAACTGAATTGATGTCTGCATCGCTATTTTGCTACCGACTTATCACTAAAGAATAATTTCATCTCGTTGGTTGTTCAAACGTAATTTTCTATAATGAATGATGCCTTTTTTTTTTAAATATTCTTAGTAAAGTGCAGAATCACTCACTTATTTATTCGCCGCTTTTTACAAGGGTAAAAACAATTGGATTTTTGTGAATTTTCTTTTACTTTTTAAGTGAAAATAGGTTGATGTGTACATAGATAATGTCAAGGGTGAGCGCAGTGCCATTTTTGTGCAATTCTAGGATTTTTCTTTTAAGTGAAAATAGGTCGATGTGCACATGGATACCGAGTATGTGCAGTTCTTAAAAACGCATCAAGCAGTGGATGATTCTGCACTTTACCCAAAATTCTATTGCCAACTTTTCATCATGGGCAATTGTTAAATTTATAGGATATCAAAAAAAGGATTTTAAATCAAAAAAGTATTTAAAAATTAAACTAGTATTTCAATGGCATCTTATGAAATATAGAACTATATAAACTTACGCAATCTGAAATCTCTAGATTTGGCACGCTGTTAAATGGGCTCGTTTGCTAGATTTGGCGTTTTTGTGCATACATTTTTGCTGCAATTTTTTTACGGCCTTCAAAACAGAATAGTATCCATAATTCAATCAATTTAAGGAAAAAATGCACGGAAGCACTTCCGCATTGCCAACTTTGACGATAATAGTTCAAACTTGGTAACCCAGCAGATTCATCCCATTCGCTTGTTCGAAGATTGCAATCATTCCTCTTGCGTTCATTTTGTTGAATTATCACTGTCGTTGTCCGCATTTGCAGATTTATATTATTCTTCTCTTATTTATTACTTTTTTTTCTGATTTTCCATGTTATTTTTTCTGAAATTTTTAACAATGAATAGAAAGAAATATTTTCGTATAATTAAAGAAGTTTCTGTAGATAGATGCCGGTTCTCGATGCGTCAGTTCGGGATGAAAGGAAGAAAATAAAGTGGGAGGGGTGAATGCTAATTTGTGACACAGAATGTACATTTTAAAGAATTAAGTAATGCTTTTATTTCTATTATTGGTTATCGTCATCTAAAATTATGAGAATAAATCAATTTTTACGGCATAAAATTTTAACAAGATAATATATGTTGTTGCTCGTTAGAAAAGTATTAACAATGCTTTTCTAACAATAACCATTCAGAGGATGGCAGGTGTGGCATAAATAGATGATGAAATTGAAATAAAAATATTACTGATTATCTAAGATGACAGAATAGTTTGATGCATCCCCATGGTCATAAAGATTAGCAAACAACTGCTGGTGTAAGGAATGTATTGTTTTCTGTGCTAACTGGAATTTAAGACAAATTTTTTTTCATATATCACGTTAACCGGTTAATTTCAGTATATTAACACTAATTTATAGTTTTTAAATTAATTTTTATTTCTGTTATAAATGCTTATATATTGTCTTATGCTTAATATATTCTTTTTATGTGCTAACTTGAATTTAATACAAATTTATTTTTGTATATCACGTTACCGGTTTGTTTTACATCTACATGCTTACTATCTGTGAATTTTTACTACCATATGCTTAATATATTGTTTTGTCTGCTAACTTGAATTTACATGCACTAAAAATCACGTTTACAAAATATCATGTTTACGATGAGCCGCGAGTAAACAAACAACAACATATACAGTCAAAAGTCGTTAATCCGGACTTCAGCGATTCCGGATTATCGATCATCAGTTTAAATCTGGTAGGATGGCACGCAGATAATTATAAAATTAAAAATATGAAACTGTAATTTATGAAATAAAGAACAATTATGATCTAAAAAGTATCAAAATTTACAAAAAAAAAAAATCTTAATATTTATTTGTTTACTTTATTAAACATTTCTTTCAAAGTAAGTTGTTTAAGTTGCTTCATTTTATGTGATAATACTTTCTCTTTAATTCTATAAACAGACATAATTTCGTGTTCAGTTACAAAGTTCTGCTGTTCAAGTCCTATAATTGCTGTGTCGAGAATACCGATTAATTTGTCAATCGAAATTTTTTCGTTTTCAATAACCTCTGTGTCATTTTCTTCACTATTGTAAGCGAATTATAATGACGAGGAATTTGATTTAAATTATATCAAAGACGGAGTGTATCGAGATGAAATACTACATTTAGTAAGGAATTATAAGCCAAATAAAATAAAAACATCTGCCCTGAAAATAAGGATAGTGCTGACAGATCAACTTCCAATTCATCACCGCGGCGTCCCCACCCCCCCGTGCCGCAGAGCAGCGTGAAATTGATAAACAGATTTCAGAATGGTTAGAGAAAAAAGGATATGCCTTTATCCATTTTTTGCAGCAATCCCACTTTTTGTTTGATGGACATCGAAACATACTTTCGCTTTGTAGATCCTTTGGGATCTCCAGCATCGGAAATTCTATTTGACATATTCGAAAGTTCAAGCTTACTTTTATAAAATTGCTCTAACAGTCTGCAAAAAATAATAAGCAGGATCCAATTCGAAGATTAAGGAACAACGCAATCTGCAACATTAACTGAAATAGATAGTTTTAGCTTATACCGTCCGTTATACATTAAACGTACATGCGTAAATGTATTATGCACATGCGCACACGCATATGCTCAGCCGTAAATGCTTATGAGCATGCGTCAACGCGATGCATGCGCAGAAAGTTTGTAGCTTTGAAGTCCGGATTAACGACTTTTAACTGTATTATCTTGTTAAAATTTTATGTCATAAAAATTGATTCATTCTCATAATTTTAGATGACAATAACCAATAATAAGAATAAAAGCATTACTTATTTAAAATGTACATTCCGTATTACAAATTAGCATTCACCCCTCCCGTCATATTTTCTTCCTTTCATCCCGAACCGAGAACCAGCATGAAAATATCTCTATCTATTCGTTGTTAAAAAATTCAGAAAAAATAACATTTACGATTACTCACAAGTTTGGCAAGTAAAAACGCAATGGCGCCAACGGTTTCTTTCCCGAAGCACCAACGGGTTCTCTGCAGATGAAAACCCAAATGCACAATTTACCAAATAAAAAATTTTTAAAAACTGAGCTAACAGAATAACAAAAGGGTATGTATATATATGTTATATACTTTCTGTTCGGCCGATTGCGACCAAAATAGGAGATACACACCTACATGTTATAACAGTCCTATATACATAATTTCATTTTCACCAATTCAGGCAAAAGCTATAAATGCATATAGTTTCTGATGAAAATACAATTCGTCTTACAAAATGTTTAGTTTCAGATGAAAATACAATTTGTCTTACAAAAACCTAAACTTTGGAATAGAAAAAAGTGGAAAATATGCTTAAAAAAGTGGTGACATTAGTTTGTAAAAAAATGAAAAACTGTCATGCACATGGTTTCCAGAGTTTAGTACATACTAAAATTTTGGAAATTTCAACTAAGGTGGTTGGAATAATATGCAAGTACTGGAGTTTTTTCACTTACATCATGGATAATTTTAAAAAGGCATTAAAAGAACCCAAATTTTTAACAAATTTAAAATCATACAAGCAAGATAATATTTACGATCTTCTAAACTCATAAAAAAAATATAGTTTATTCTTTGAAAATAGTCATACAGCTTCCTCCGTACACATTAGAGTTATGATTTGTGATACATGATTTACATGAATTCGTCATAAAATACACTATTACACAACCTACCTTTCCTTCAGCTTCAGAATCACCATAATCGTGTCTATGATAATTTTTCACTTCACGATCTGTGGAGGGAAAAAAGAAGTATATTTAATAATATAATTTAATTATTAATAAATGAATAATTACCGAATAATTTTATGTAAAAAATACTTACAAACTGATGGACCAACAATATCTTGACACTGTACACAGTGGTATTTTTCAATATCCACAGATTCATGTTCTTTAACATTGACACAACTGTAAAAGTATATTTAAAATTAAATGCCTTAAGTACTTTTAATGTAAACAACAATGGTTTTAAATCACAAATGTCACATATTATGAAATTGAGCTATTTCCTCATATGAAACAATTTTATTAATTCAATAATTTTGATCGTAACTTTAAAAAATACTGTATTTAGCAATTTGAAAAAATAATAGTACAAACTTTTAAACAAAGATTAGTCTAATTCGGAAAATTAAAAAAAAATATGCAAAATATAACGAGCAAGTTAACACATTTCATCAGCGACCCCTCTATAACATGGTGGAAAGTGTATTTAGATACATTCTGTTTATTGAGATACTAGATTTCATAACAAATTTTGAAACCAAATATCTATGCGTGTAAATATCTAAATTATTCATAATTAACATAAAAAAGAAAAGAAATATTAATTTGATTATCGGATTTCAAAGAAAGCTGTAAAGCGAAAATTCGATATTTTTGTTCTGGAAACAATACACCAAAACATTACTACACAATTTTATTTGTACAGTCATACCTTCCATGATACCAGTCTTTACAAGAATCACACTGTATCATAAATCTAAGTGAATCATAAGGTTCACCGCAAATACAATAAACAGTTCGCGAAGCCATATTTTGAACCCACAGAGTTGAGTTGATCAAAACGCAAGACTGGTTTTCTTTCAAAAATTATTGTAACAAAAAGCAGAAAAAATTCTGATTCCTTAATAAGCCGTTTTGTAATCCTAGAACTTATCATTTAATTAATCTAGATGAAAATGGCATACTTGGAAAATATTTATGGCATACTTAAATCGAATTTTTATAAACAATTTTGATTCTTAGAAATTAAATGAGAAAAGGCTTTCGATATAACATCACATCCAGGGCTCAAAACATTTTCATTAATTACTGTTAATCTCATCAGATCTTCGAAATAAATTAACTAAAATTATCTTCATTGCGATCTTTTTATTCAAACCTTCAATTCTTAATCTCCCTCTTTATAGTATCTAAATACTTGCACCAATAAATCGGTCGTTTTCTTGAATGCTGCAATGATGTGAACTCTTGCACTGATGTATGAGCTACCTTGAATACAGCTCTCCAATTAACTGGCGGGTCACCAGCGATCGAGCAGTAAAGTCACTGAATACCAGTAGTTCGTTCAGAGGTTCGAATCCCCCCAACGCATTTTCGTGGTTCTCCCCATGTGAAACTTGTATACGAGCCAGTTACCCTTAGAAAGTCCTCTAAGAAGGCATTTATCCCCTTCGGAAAATAGCTCTCGAGACTTTGTCGTAATTAAATAAATCAACCAACTGACTGGCTCCTGACAAAGACGACCCGACACTAGCCAATACAGATATCTCTAGCCCCAGACTGCCAACTAGGCAGTTAATAATAACTGCCCCAGTTGATCTAAATAATTAAATAAATATATTTAGAGGTACACAAAATCATTACTGCACTTGATTGTACCATTGAGTCCATACAGCGCTCAAACTAACAATTATGTAAATGGATACAGCTTTCAATTTAAAAATTACAGTAAACTCCAGTCATTTTGAAATCGATTCTCAATTCGGAAGATCCAGTTTAGAGATTTGAAACTTTAGATTGTTTCTGAAATTACTGATTAATTTTTCAGATTGCCCTTTTTAACTTAACTCTATGTATAATTAGAGTTCCAAAACTTCTAGTGCATTTTGCTTGAATACCACTGCATTTTTTAAAATTCATGATTAATTTGACTTATAGCTCAATATAAATGGGGAGTAATGTTCGGAGTAAACGGTAACTCAGAATTTGCGGCACTATCAAGTTTAAATTTTGCGCATCTTTCAATCTGCATGATTATTTCAGGCACTCATATTGGAAAAATTTCAGAAATTGAAGTGTCTGGATCTGCCTGATCCAGCCAATATTAGATATTATTTCAAGTCGTCTTTCATTGCTACTTCGTCTCACGATGTTTCTACATCTTGACACTCGAGAATAAAATACGATCTGGGCGATCTGTGTGAAAGATTCATTCATTTTTTCACCGTTAGGTAGCGCTCTATTCATATAGTTTTAATTTGGAATATTAAATCAGTAATACTGTAAATTTGAAATCCTAATTTTAATCCTGGATTCTTTCAGGATTACTTTTGTTCTTATTGCTGATGTTCATAATATTTGATTTATAGAGTCCCTGTATTCTGCTTTTTGTGAAATTTATGACGTAGAACTACTTCTATTGGTTAGATGGGATCATGTGACGTCACCAGCCGGTTGTCTGGCGAAGTCGGCAGTATTGATAATTCGTCAGAGCTCGGAGCACGATGAGAAGGCGAAGGCCAAGTCTTTGTTAGGAATACGACATGGCAGGCGTGCATGCCGAGCTCGATTAGAGAAATTTTTGTTTTCCCGTTAACAAAATCACAAAGGCTAGAAAATTGAACGCGTTATTATTTATATGTGTATATATATATATTTGAGTATTAAAGAAATTATAAGTAAAGCATTCATTTAAAATTCTTTTATATAGAATATCAAATATTAGTGCATGATATAAAAATTCTTTCGTCTGTTACGAATCGGAATTTGGAAAACAAATAATCGCAAATTTCATTTAATCTTAAAATTTGTTAAATTAAGTATGTCTCCAGGAACATCATCCGAAGATGTATTATTGATGGTTAGTCACGTTCATCATAAGAAGAATGATGGCACATTGTACTTAATGAATGAACGCATAGCATGGATGCCGGAAGGTAAGGATACTTTCTCTATAAGCCATAAATATGCGGATATCAAAATGCAGAAAATATCACCTGATGGAAAGGCGAAGGTGCAGTTGCAAGTGGTGCTACATAATGGAGAGACAACTACTTTTCATTTTGTTAATCCGCTGGGAACCAATCTGCAATTTCAAGATCGAAATAGCGTTAAAGAACTGCTTCAGCAACTCCTGCCAAAATTTAAAAGAAAGATCAACAAAGAACTTGAAGAAAAGAATAATATTTTGGCAAATGATCCTGTACTTTTCCAGCTGTACAGAGATCTTGTAGCTACTCAGGTAATAACAGCTGATGAATTTTGGGCTAATTATGTAAAAAAACCCAATCAAAATGCAAAAACAAAGGTAGACCAAGAAGTAGGAGTTTCAGGATCATTTTTGATTGGCATTGCTCCTCAAACTGATGGCTCCTGTGGTATTAAATACAATATAACTCCAGAAATCATTGATTCCATATTTCGAACATATCCAGCTGTGAAAAGGAAACACATGGAAAATGTCCCACACAAAATTTCTGAAAATGAATTCTGGACTAAATTTTTTCAGTCTCATTATTTTCACAGAGATAGATTAAATATAAATTCGAAAGATTTGTTTTCAGAGTGTGCTAAAATTGATGACCAGGATATAAAGAATGCTATAGATAAAGGAATTCCTGATCCATTTGTTGATGTGACATCATTTGAAGAAGATAATTTAATTGATGATAATGGTAAAGTTATTGTGAGTGCACAAAATACCCAAAAAGAAATAAATCAGTCTATGATTCGACGTTTTAATCATCATTCCATGATGGTTCTTCAAAGCTGTTCCAAGAAAAAGTCAGATGTTCCTGTAGATGGTGCAACAAGTGCAAAAAAACCTGCTCTTATAAATAATTGTGTTTCCAAGAAAAATGCATCATCTGTTTTAGAAATTGAAAAAAATCCCAAAAAAAGCATTATAAAGCATAAAATATTGTATGAAGATCTTAATAAAGATGCACAACAGAATGTGAGTACATTAAACTTGAGTAAAGTCAGCCGCTATCTTAGTGGACCTACACCTATTACAGATGCTGATAATACTTCTCCTGAGGAAGTGTTATTTGCAGTTGATCAACTTAACAACTCTATTCATTCATGGACTCCAGATTTACCAAATGTCCTTCGTCCTAGTTCTGCAATTCTTGCTCTTGGTGAGTTGATGCCTGGTGGCTCGTTAATGAAAAATGTTGATGGCACACGATTAAGTGATACAGTACCAGTAGAAATACAGAATGAGATGAAACAATTATATTTAGCATTAAGTGAATTGCTACGTCATTTCTGGTGCTGTTTTCCTACTACAACACCACAGCTTGAAGAGAAAGTAATCTCTATGCAAGGCAGTCTTCAAAGATTTGAGTATGCAAAATTGCAACCTTTTCAGGATAAACTGGCTAGAAATTGTTTGCCATTAAATCTTACCGAACATTTAAGAAGTCTTCTGCAGTCTGCATATAAAAAGTATTCTACATGGCAAAGCAGACTTGGTAGATGATAAATGTCATATTTATGAATGCCTTTAGGTAGTGTTTTGAAAACAAATTTGCATTATATTCTCATTATCTGTGCAGTTCATAGAATGCTTTATCATTGCTTTATGTTTTCCTTGATTGTTGCTAATGCAGCCTATTGTTGAAATTATTTTATTGTATTGTAATTGTTCTGCATGTATTGTGTAGGATAGTGTCAAATCACAAAAATCAAACCAGGGTGTTAATGAAATGTTTTGTGAAAGGGATTTATTGTTGTGAGGGTTGTTATATGTTTGACAAAAAAGATTATATAAGTTAAATTTGGTTCAAAGAATAAAATTTTTGAACTTCAATTTTGTAGGGGTATGGTTTGAAGTATATATTTATGAAGTCATTAATGTTGTATGTATGCATTCATTGGTGTACATATTATGTAGTAGGAAATTTATGAAATTTTATTAAAATTTTAACATTCTGTTTTTCTAATTATTTGTATTTACAAGTATTTTAATTCATCAAAGTATGTTACACCTTTATGAAGTCTTTTCCAATTATTTAATATTATTTTTTCAGTATGTACTTCAGTATTTTTTCAGTATTTCCTTCAAGCTATAGAAAAAAATTCATGCCTGCAGTTGATATGTTAAGAATTTAATGCCAATTAATCTGCATTTTATTTTTTTCAAATGGATATAGAACTGAAATATATATTCCTGTTTTCTCTCTGACATAATTGTTTAATTTCCTGATTATTGATATTATTCTTATTTTTTTTCAGTGCCAATATTAAGTTTCATCAAGATATGTGGAAAAAATCTTAACACATATAGCAGTCATGCTATTAAAGTATTAATAAAACATAATGTTCAAAAACATTAAATTTTTTTATCCACAGAAGAAAATGGAATATTGTCATACATGAAAAGTTTACCAGAAAAATTAGTAGTAAAAGAAAAGTATATGCCTTTTGATAAGACTTCAGTTTTTTAATAATGAAAAGTTGAAAAATAAAGAAAGAGGTTGGTGTTTTCTATTTATTAGTTTATGTTGCATGTATATTTTGCATTTAATTAAGTATTAATCCATAACAATTTTTAGATCTGGAGGAAAAAGTTGAATATTGAGATATAGGAGAAGTTTACTGTTAAAGTAAATAATAAAAGTACATGGCTTGGAATTAAAAAGTTTAAAAAAAATAGGTTGATGTTTTCTTTTTATTAAAATTTATGTTTGTATATATCTTGCATTTAATATAGGAATACAAATATATATATATATTTTTTTACAAGGGTGTTAATGAATGGGTACTGTACTATGGGTACTGTACTGTTATTGGGACCACATCCAGAAATTGTATGCATGTATGTGTGCACATATGTATTTGTGTGTGTGTACACACACACACACACGTGCACATACATACATTTCTGAATCTGGTTCTGATAACAGAAGAGTAAAGGACTGTGTTTAGTTGATCAAGGTATATTAAAAATTTTTATGATTATCTTATGGTAAAAACATTTGTATATGTAGTTACCTAAAATTATATTGGCATATTTTATCCTAATTTATAAATGATTATTTTTAATTCTTTTGAAGGGATGCCACATGCTTGAGCAAAAGCATAGATTACATTTCATCAATTAGCTATCTGTAACATTATAATAAAAATTTCATGTCTGCAATAATTAATTATAAATGAAACCAGTGTCTTTAATTGTTATATATCATTCAGTTTGTATTCAATATAAATAAATGGAAATTCAACCACATATAAAATTCCTTTAAAGTATCTTTCTACTCTGATGCTGTAAGAATTATATGTAATGTTAGGAAACATTATTTTTAGATTGTCTGCATAATATTATATTATGTATCTAATAAATTATAATGAAACATGGCTTTATTACCCTAACGACATATGTTGTGTTGTTGTTATAAAATCAGGATATATTTATTGTCTTCAGCCTGTTCTTAGATGACAGAAGTGTAGCAAGGTGCATTTTTAAAATGGCATTAAGATTTCTTTAGCTGTTTGTTAAAATATTTCAAGATTACAAAAATTTATAGTTCAGCTTTAAACCATACAAATTGATATTAAACAATTATTTAAATTGATTTTAAATTTTTACCAAAACCTTATGGTGATTTTTACCAAACCCTTTTTAATTTAACCAAAACCTTTGATGAGCTGCTTTTTTACAAAATAATACCTGACTTTTTGATTTTATCTTACAAATTATGATAGTTTGTGACTGTTTTATCAAGATTTCTGCATACGTCAAAACTTACCAAGATGAAAATGAAATAAAATTTCCTTATCAGTCTCAGTGTAAGCCTATGACTATGACTTGCGCTAAAGTTACAAAGTAATAAACCAATAATTTATAATAAGAAAACTTTCCATATACCATCTCCAAGGAATACAAATTTAAAACCGTCAAAGAAAATGTTTTTTAGAATTTAAATTAGTATTTTAAATAATTTCAATTATTTGTTTAAAAATCGATTAAAAAAAATCTTTAATCGCAAAAATACTAAACCAAAAGTAAATGGAAAGTTTTCTTATAAATTATTATGATTATTGGTTTATATATATATATATATATATAATGGAATAATGAGAATTTAAGCAGAAATAGAGTTGTTATTGAAATAAAAGTTTTCATCAGAGGCTAATTACAAATGATCATTATCAGATATAAAACACTAAAACATAAAATACCAATTGAGAAAGCTAAGTTTTGTTATTTGAGTAAAATATTGTGATAATGATTAAGAACTGATGACTGAACTTAAGCTGTCACATAACTTACAAACTGAAGTAATCAGTTTATCCAAAATAATTTCAAGGCGATATTATATCTTATTGTGAATGAATTTATTTTTCATATGCTGTAAATGCAAATAATAAAATATGCATTACAAATATCATCTTTCGAACCTGTTATGCTGACCTGATGTCTGCGACTCTCTTAACACTTTCCAGCATGCTACCTTTTAAAGTTGGAATTTCGATTTAAAAAAAAATGGTAGGCAGTTTAATTAAGCCTAGAGGAGTACACAAGTAAAATTTTGTAAAGATAGCACTTATCGTTTTAATTCTGTGGGTGTGCCCGAAGTGGGCACACTGATAAAGCTTTGAAAAGAGTGCTGAAACGAGCATTGCTGGGAAGCGTGTAAAAGAGTAAGAGATTTTGCCTACGATTAAAAAACACTGAATACCATAACAGATTTAGCATTGCCCAGGGTGTGCCACGGGGAGATCTGCTATTCTACACCTCCCTAAAAAGCTCATTTTGGGTTATATGATGATTACATGCTTATGAATGAAAAAAAGTAACTTAGGTATATGATATTTATATTTCATGTATACACTTTAGTCTATTTTTTTCATGGTGGTACTTTTTGAAGAAAGTGACACCACCTTTGAAAAAGCACAACCCAATATTTCATGTTTTGCACATATGCTGGGATCCGTATCAGGTTCACTATCTGAAAGCAATTCATGTAGCACTTTGAGTGCTTTAGAAATGGTCAGCCCTCTCTGATCCGTTTAGAAAATAATTAAAAATCCGAAAAAAATAAACTAATATTATATCTACAATTTGAAATTCTGAACTATAAAATAAAAATATAAATGTCTGCAACCAAACCTATTAAACATAGTGCTAAGAAAACTCCTTTGAACCAAAGCGAAAGAGAACTGCTGTAGTGAAAAACCATACAGCTAACTAATAAAATTATCCCTGACCTTCAGAAAATCACTCCAACAATTTCTTAGTTGATAACCAAACCTCCCCTCAAAAAAAAGAAAGAGAAAGATGGGAAATAAAACAAAGATGTGGACCCACCTTTCTTTGTTAATGAGCTGCAGAGAAACAAAGATACAGCTGCCTCTCAGTGGCCTAGACTCACAGTGAGCCCAGTCTGGAAAAACCTCGGTTCGCTGTTCGATTTTAGGCAAGATTTCAAGGTAAAAATTTAAAACTAATATAGAATAAGGAGATTAGCATACAGCCAAAAAAATAACAGAAATTTCCTTTCAAACAATTCCTTTTATACCCTAAAAAAATCTGGAAGATTGCTTTGAAAAATGAGGGTCTTAAAAAACTAAAACATGGCTTAAATATATGGACTGGTTTGTGTTGAGCTGCCATCTACTATAAATAAATAACGTTCAGAGTAACCTATAGTAATCTTCAAATCCTTTTTCATTAAATTTTTCTGTGCATACAGAAGGAAATTTTTAGCTGTGCCCAAACCGGGCACACCGTGCCGTAAAGGGTTAACTGGACTAGAAGTGATAGTTTTCTTATAAGGAGAAGGAATAGCTGAAGAAGTGCCAAACCCCCACATATTTTTTTTTAAAGCTTCTATGTGAGAATATTGTGCCTGGTGAAAAATATTTACTTCATTTAAAACTGGTTCTTATTAAGCTATTGAGGTTAAGACAAAAAAAGGTGTGTTCTACCATTTCAGAAGTTTCCATTTTTTGGTACAAAAGAGATTATTTTCTTGGTCAGTGGCATAGTTGGAACTTTCATCAATACTCTATTAATTTTTCAAGTAAAACTTACAACATTCTAAGATGCTACTTCATTTTTCTGTTAACAAAGTGGTTGATGGTATTCTAGAGCAGATATGTCAAACTCAGTATTCAAGTAATGTAAAAATATATATCTAAGTAATGTAAAGAAATTTAAGTAGTAGATATTGTTTTTGTGTCTGTCCCAATATCTGCATCTTTTTCCTTCAATCAGCTTTTGGATGTCTGCTTGCACGAGTGATTTTCAGAATAAATGTCAGATAACTGGATCTCACTGTGGACTTGTTCCTTTTCATGAGTGTGAAAAGTTGTCCACAATGATACATGGAAATCAATGATACATTGAAATGCAGATTTGTAATTTTTTGGAAATTATGCAGCTATGTATTTTTAAACCTTGGAGATACCTACTTCACTATTTTTTTTTTTTCTTTAGAGTTCAGTCACACTGAATTTTTATTCCATCTGAATCACAGTTGGAAAAGGTGTAGAAAAGAAGGAGAGCTATAGATCTGTTATTCCAGAATCTTTCTTCAAATGCTGAAGCTTCTCAACATATGTTTTATACAAATTAGGCTCCCTTTTGTTAATAACAACAGATTTTTATTTTCTGTGAGCAAACCAAGTGCTATGAGTTTGATAAGCTTCTAGTTTGTTTCATTACTCCAGTTCTTGTTCACTACAATAAGGTTTCTTAAATTCAAGATACTCATTTGCAGGTCTTAGGTGCTGTCTGTATTAGAAAAATTCCTTTTGCAACAAGTTATACAGCAACTGCAGGGAAATTTGTAATAGTATTACAATATTTGGAACTGCGATCAGGAGACTGGGTATTTTAGAGTATAGCTCACTCTATAAAATTTTTCATGAAAAATGCTGTCCTGCTGAGTGACTCTCCTTTTTAGCTATGACACTTTTCTTGGTTTGTCTGAAAGTAGTAGGTGACAGCAAAAAATAAATAAATTTGGATCAATGAGAACTATCCTAAAAATTTGCAAAAAAGAAAAATGTTGAAATAGAGATTAGTATAACAGCATTTTCAATAATTAGACCCAATTTGCATAATTTTACTTCATTTTGACAATAACAAACTTTTAGCTAATCTTTGTAGCTAATGGCTGGCAAATTCTTTAATTCTGAATACTACCAAGCCTATATTAACCTTATTTTCTTTTATGTTTAAGCACTTACAAGTTTTTTGATTAGAATCCATCACTTAAAAAACGGCTTTAATTAGCATGTTTTTGAATTAAGATTTATCATTTGTAACCTGCTTTTACGTAACATAGTCCAGATAGTATACTATAAAAGTAAAAAATAAACATTTATTTTCTGATTTGTTGATATCAGTATCATGGGTTTGCTTGTACTTCTTTGTCAAATAATGTACAAACAGCACAGAAAGATTCACTAGCACAAAGACACCTGAAAATATTTTCACTTGAATGAAAAAACATAAATAAAGAAGTCACTTTATTAAGGTTGGTAGAAAACCTATTTCTGTCCAGTAATAAAAGTATCGTAAGTAAAATAATCTGAGATTTAAAGTTTCAATTTTTTAAGTAACATTTTTGGTTATGTTCCTTCAATAAATAACTTCTATTTGAATGTCAAATGTACATTTATTTTAAACCAAAAAAAGTAAAAAAAACCTATAGGTATTGGTCTTTTACAAATTTTAAGGGCAATCACCTAAATTGATATTTGAAGAAGAAATATAAAATTATACCAGCAACAATCTGTTTTGGAAGAAAGAAGTAAAGTAAAAAAACACATCAGCTGAATTATTAGAGAATTGTGCAGGGAATGATATCAGCTGTATGGAAAGAACATGTTTCCTTTTGCAATTGATTAAGTTGAAATATAGTTTGATGAAACTGCAACCACTTGACATGAGTAAAGATTTCAATGAAAAGGATTTGCTAACTATGCAAGAACTGTTGAACCCATTTTGTGAAGAGCATTGTAAGTAATGCTCTTCACAATAATGTTAGCAATCTTGTTGACACTGATCAACAACAAGCATATAAATTTTGAAAATAATGAATTCACTGATGATAAAACCTTTTTTGAAGTGAAATGAAATTGAAGCAGTTGCAGGAAAAATTTCACGTTTCTGGAAAGTTGAAAATACAAATTATGGACATAAATCCGAATCTGGAGGGAAGTATTTAAATTTATTATATTACTGACAATGCACTGAACTGCCATAAGGAAAAATATGG